CTTGACCAGTCAGTTACCATGTCTATTGATGATATCTTATTCTATTCTGAGACCAAGGAGTCACATTCTGAGCATCTTCGAGAGGTACTTTAAGTATTGAGGAAGGAGAGGTTTTATGCCAAGTTCTCCAAGTGCGAGTTCTAGTTGTGCGAGGTTCGTGTCACTTCGTCCATCAATATGGTATTTTGGTCGATCCGGCCAAGATCAAGTCAGTGATGCAGTAGGAGGTTCCGAGGACTCCATCTGATATTCAGAGTTTCCGTGGGTTAGCAAGTTACTACATGAGGTTATTCACTTAGATCATAGTTCCCATTACCATGTTGAACATGAAGAATGTTATATTCAAGTGGGGGCATGAGCAACAAGTATCCTTTGAGAACTTGTGTTAGAAGTTATGTGAGGCACCAATGTTGACCTTTCCTGAGGATTTTTATGATTTTCTATTATATTTTGATGTGTCGACCTTAGGAATTGGTTTTTTTTTTCTTATACGGAGAAGTAGATTGGTTGCTTATGCTTTGAGATAATTGAAGTTGTGTGAGTCTAACTACCTAACTCATTATTTGGCATCACTATTTGTATCGGGTTCAATGTACCACATACATGGCATAGATAGCTTGATGTGGTGAAGGAATATGGTTGCAAGATCCATTATCATCCATGTTAGGCCAATGTGGTGTCTGATGCATTAAGTCACGAATAGGATTTGAGGAATGATTATTGGTGGCACCATAAAGTTCTTGATTCATCCTGGCACCACAAAGATGTATAGAGATTTGAGGAATCATTCTTGGTGTCCCTCCATGAAGTGGGACATGGTTTTGGTATGTCGAGAGGTTCTTGACTTGTAGAAAAGTCAAGGTCGAACATCATATGCCTCATGGAAAATTGCATCCATTGCAGATTCCATTATGGGAATGGGAATAGATAAAGATGGATTTCATCTTGAAGCTACTGAATACTGTGAGGGGCTTTGATTCTATTATGGTTATTGTGTATTGCTCGTCCAAGAGTGCTCTTTTCACTGCCATTCAGGAGAGTTATTTAGACTAGAAGTTGTTCGACATCTATATCCTGGAGGAGGTTGCATGCCATGGGGCGTCGACTTCTGTGATCTCAAGTAGAGACGTTCGTTTCACTTCTAGATTTTGAAAGAGGTTCCATGATGATTCATTGCGATTTTATTCAAAAACAGTCCAATTATCATCTAAATTAGCAACGAATCATTTTTTTAATAAACTAAAACCATTTTTCAAGAACTCGGAGAAATTAAAACAACCATATAAAATTAAGTGTTATAACCTTTGAAGACTTTGATTTTCATGGGAGATTGGAAGTTGAGGAAGTATGGCATGAAACTCCAAAAGATAGGTTCTCTATAATGTATCCAACAAGCAAGAGTTGAACCGGCAAAATATCCTAGTATAAACTTGTATTAAGTTGTTATTAAGATTTAAGACTTATACCAAATAAGTTCTTAAATAAAAACAACTTTATGAACCAAGAACTTGAACCAAAATTGCAAGAGATGGAGAAGGGAAGGCCTTTCTTATTTTCGACAATTGAGAGAGAAAAATAAGAAGCAAAGTACATACAAACTAACTAGTTTTAATAACTCTCTCTTCTTTATATCATAATAGATATGCAAGAGTCGAAGCCTATCCATAAACCAAAGTATGGTCTCCTTTTACAAACATGTTGTAAAGCATTAAACATTTGAAAAAGATATATCATCCCTTGTCTCCTAATTTTGAGCCATGGTTCCATAAGGAGACAAATTCCAATTACTCATTACTTTATAAAAATTAACTAGTTAGATATACTAACTATGTGTTTACTCAAAGTGTCCACTTATTTGTATAGGAAATAAATAATCATACAATATGATATTAAGCTAGTTTTATTCTCTTTTATTATTATTTATAAAAAGCACTAGTTCCCAGTATATGGTAAATATTATTTTCATATAATAATGTTTTTCCAATTAAATACAAGTGTTGATATTTATTAATAATTAAATTATAATAATAAATAATCAATTAGTGGTAACTTGTTATAAGGTGTGACCCAATAGAAACATATATTATTAGCAATATCATTCTATAATGACTCTTGGGCATACCAGATCTTTCATTATTTGGGTAATCAGTTGCACTTCAACACATTATATCACCTGCAGACTAATGGGTAGAGTGAGAAAACTATCCAAACCTTGGAGGATATGTTGAGGACATGCTTCATTGATTTTAATGGGAGTTTGGATTCATACTTTCTATTGACAAAGTTCAACTATACCAACAATTATAACTCTGGTATCGCTACCCCTACTTTAGAGTTACTTTATGGGAAGCAATGTCAGACCCCAATTTTCTAGGAAGAGGTTGGCCATAGAGTTTTAGGGAGCATTGAGTCCGTGCTCAAGACGAAAGAGTTGATATAGTAGGGACACGGGTGACTGCAGACCGTGTAGAGCCGACATAAGTGTTATATAGATCCGCGCCAATCTAATATTGAATTTAGGTTTCGGGATTTTGTACTTATAAAGGTGTCATCCTGGGAGGGTATCATCTGATTGCGAAAGCTGGAAAATTTGGGCCTCATATTTATTAGACCTTTCTATGTGATTCCTAGGGTGGGCACTAAGCCAGATTTATAACACTTTCCATGTTTCCCACCTACAAAAAAATTTAGTACACGACTTGATGGTGGTGCCTTTAGATGCCATTCACGTGGACAAGTGACTAAATTATATGGAGAGGCTGATCACAATCTTGGATAGGAAAATGAAGGCCTTGTGCAATAAGTAGGTGTTGTTGGTAATAGTGAAGTGGCAGCACAGAAAGGTTTCTGAATGGACTTGGGAACCCAAGGAAGAGATACACGAGCATTATCCAGAGTTGTTTATCATTGGGGATTTCGAGGATAGGATCTTATTCAAATGGGAGAAAGTTGTAACATCCTTATTCCTAATATTTAAATTATTATAGTTATGTGTTGCTTATTCACTGAAATCTAAAATAAAGGAATTAATCGCATTAGGCACGATGAACCTCTTTAAAGCCTGGTGCATTTGGCCCAGGGTTAGAATGACCTTTTAGGATTTTAGGGCTATTTAAAAACTCTTAACTCTCTAGTGTTGGATCATTTTCAACCTCCTTTGTCCCTAGAGAGATCCTCCATAAACCTTAGCCCCCTCCTGAGCATTATATCACCTTGAAAGCTCATTTTCCTTGGTTTATGCTTAAAGCTTGAAGAACAAGATCATATTTGATGCATTGAAGTGAAGAAAAAGTGTAGATCCAACAAGTTTTCACCTCTCCTATACCTTTGTGAGTAAAATTATTTAAGCTTTCCTTTTTGTTTGCTAGATTAAGTCTTATGTTGTTTTATGCATCCTTTTGTCCCTTTTGTGGGCGACCTTTGATTTGATTGAACTCCAACACCATGTAAGCACTTCATCTTGCTTATCAAAACTTATGGACTAATAAAGTTTGGACCTTTAGCCTTCCCTCCAATCCATGCAAGACTTGGGGGTGTTTAAGGTCTTTTGGAATGCAAAAGTCTAGATATTGGCATTTTCCATCACATTGTTCTCTAAACACCCATTTTTAAATTTTTGTGAGATAATTAATTTATTAAATTTAAAACATAAAATATTGAATTTTTTATTGATAAAACTCGAATATACAACCATATGTTTTTTTCATGAAATCGAAAGAAAGTGAAAAAAAGTGGACATAAGTTGAAACAAATAGGAACCCAAATAGCTTGTTGTCTTTCAAAATCTAGATTACTCATACTAAACTGGAGTGTGAGAGATTAATACTCTCTATTAAAATGCACAGACAAGGTTTGCAAACACAAATATTGAGTTAATCAATAATATCAATGCTTGTTAGTAATTAGGATAAGTCAAGTCTGGTTAATCCAATCAAGACTAGAATTAAATAACTTCAACAAAGTATTTAAGAACATTAAGTAAAACAAAGTTTAAACAAAGTAAAATAGTTAAGAACAAGAAGAATTTAAGAGAGGTGATTGATAGAAGTTTGAGAGTAAATTGAAGAATTCTATTGAAGAGACATGTGGTATAAATCTGTTTGTTAAGATATATGTAAGATCATATTTTCAGTACAAGGTTGAGACTCCTTTTATAGGCCAAGGAGTCAACTAAATACAAATACATAAGATAATGAGAAACCTAGAACAGTAAACAAAATCATAATAAAAATGGATTTCCTCTAATCCTATGTAATACTATAAGTAAAATGCAACCAAAAGAACTTTCTTCTTGTTAGGGAAAGTTAACTAAGCTATGAATCCAATGCAACTCGGAACTAGTCATTCATAACTAGTCTTCTGAGTCTTTACTTCTTGTTCGAAACAACATTCCATCTCAGAATGAAGAGTGATCTCGTAGGCTTCACATCTCGTACAAGGAAGCTATCTCAGAATCATCATCTTTATCTTGGTTGAGAAGTGATTTCACAATCACTTCTCCATCTCAAAATCACAATGTCAAAATCGCGAACATCTCGGAATCTCTTTATAGCTTGGATTGTCTAAGGAAAACTTTCAGGTACTAACAATCTCCCCTAAGTGTCCTTAGCAATCGTACTTCGATTCTTCTTAATTTAAGGAGATTCCCTTGCCTTTGTCTTTGGCAGGAGGATCCGAAGGGATGGTAGATGAGATGAATTATTGACCAATTGAAGTGATAAATAGTTTTGAGGTAGGAGGGATCAAAAGTTCCTTAAGTAGGTCGTCCGACTTTATGGTTGGAGGACCATCATCAACATGTGCAATTTTTGGAGTAGGAATACGAGTAGGAGTTGGCTAAGAAGCTTGGAATGCATTATTTTCTATCTTTAATTGAAGTTCATCCTTTTCTATGCTTCTCTTGAACAAATCAAGAAGATTTGATGGCAAACACATAGAGGACCAGTTTTTTGTTTTGACTTTCGAGAGGACTTGTTCGTTCATTGCTTGAAGTCCAAGAATCACTTTCTTGACCTGATTTTTTTCATCACTTTCTTTTTCATTTTCATCTTCAGTTCAACTAACACGTCTTCAGCTGCAACTTTAAAAAATTCGATATCAACATCATCATCATCATCAGATTTCTCATCTCGACTTTTAAATTTCGAGATGGGTTTCCATATTTCTCCCCCTCTTTCATGAGAAGGAAATGCTTTGGATGAATGAAATGAGTTGGGCTTGTGATTATCAAGTTTTTCAATCACCCGTTGGAAGCTCATATTCATTTTCTTGAAGAGAGAATCATATGAATCATCGGTTGGAGCTTGGTCTTTAAGAGTGTCAAGGGTTTCTTCTAATACAAGGATTGTATCGAATTTGTAATTAGTAGTGTCGAAATTTTTTTGACCAAAGCAAATGACTTTGATGAGAAATTCTTGCATGATCATATTAAAACCATCTTTTTGTTTAATCTCTTTCGCCAACCTTTGAATTTGTTTCTCATGATGAACATGAGTTTGCTTGATGAGTTAATATGTAGCAGAAATCAAGTCATGCTGAATTTTGAGCATCGTGTTGATAGTAGAGATGTGATGATCAAGATTATCTTTGTAATGTTAGTCAACATCTTCCAAGGTGCGACTTAAACAAAGAGAAATAAGTTGATCCGATTAGTTGGCTCTGTCGATTTCGAAAGGAGTAGCAAATTTAATCTCAAAAATAGAATTGATCATCGAAATCAAGCTTAGATTCAAGCGATGCGCCTTTGGAAGAGACAGTGTCAACTTTGGAATCGACTTTCTGAACATTGTCTCTGAGTCCGAAGAGTGTGAATAGATCTGCAATGTTTTCGTCGGGGGAAGGGTTATCTAAGTTTCTATTCGCATCACCATATTCAAAACCTTGAGAAGTATCAACGCCTTGAGCTTGATTGTCTTTATCACATCTTAATCTTCAATATTCATATCTTCCGAGGAAGACATCAATCCGAGGTAATGGAGGACTTGGGATGTAAAAAGAGTCGTTTGAGTGCGAAGAGCATCAACAGAGGCATTGTTATCTTCAAAATCGATCTCATTTTCATTTGGATGAGGAGAGTTGTTGCAAGGAGATTTTTCATCAATTGGAGACGGTTGAGTTTCTTTGTGGGTAGAGAGTAAGTGGGAATCAACTTCAAAGTTTGTTGGAAGTCTCATAGTGAGTTTGCTATAAAGTGCTCGTGGTCGTATTTGTGGGAAGAGAGTAAGTGGGCATCAATTTCAGAGTTTGTTGGGACCTATCAATAACTTTTTCCCAATCGTTAGCAGTCAGACCTGAGTGACCATTATCCATGGTGGATATCGGATTAGTTGTAGCTTCCAAAGTTGGAGGGACAACTCCAAGGTCAGCATGCTTTCAACTTGTTGAGAGGTTGGGGGTAGATTATGTGGTGACTTGCTGTGAGTGTGTGAGAGTGATATTGAAACGCCAACGAGTGCGTCGGAAGAGTAGGTAAGTAAGGTAGGTGTCACCCAGAGTCTAGTGTGAAACTGATATATGAATCCTTTTAAGGGGACTCATCGGTTCTGGCTCTCTTTTTGGCTATGGATTTTAGAGGGGATCCTTTTCGCTTCGTAATGATCTTCAACTTCCTAGGTCTATTCATTTCAAAGAGCTGCTCATTTGAGACATGGAGACAACTTGGTGGGACAACCAAATCCGTTATCTCAAGATGAAGCTTTTATGAGGAGAATCAAAAGGAATAATATCTAACATATGTTGAAGGAGTCATCTAACAGGTCGAAAAGATACTTGACTTGCTAACCTATAAGACTTAATTGCTTTGAAGGGCAAAATACCTTAGAGGTATCAGATGTGATGCGGATGGCTTTGTGATGATCGTGATAGAGCTATTGTAGCGTCAAAGCCCAAAACTACGAACTTGGTATTTCGTTCATCTTCCTTCTCTCGGTAAACTTCACAAAGTCTTTCCACAAGACTTCAGTTTGATCAAAAACATTGATTCGAACAGTGAAGATGCTATAAAAAAACGTATAACCATTATTTTCTCTATGTGTCGGTGCCACCATGTTTTCCGGATAAACCTAGAATAATCATGTGTATCAAAATCTTCCATATACCAGGAACAACAGACTTCTTGAATTCCTTATCCTGAAGTCTCTTTTGTAACCAATGTTAATGAGAAACTTGAAAGTCTTCAGGAATGTGTTTGACGAATTTGAAGTCAATAGGGTTTGGAGAAACCCTAATAACACGTAGAAAAACTTCTTTGGTGATCGGAAAAAATTGATCTTCAGAGATTTTGCATTGAAGAATACCTTTATCAAACTTCATACTCTCAAAGGCTTTGAAAAGTAACCGCAATGGAAAACTAGGTTTAGGGATTTTGGTGAGAGGGATGACGATGTGAGGAAGAGAGACGAATTCAACCATAACTCGAAAAAAATCATCATAATCAAACGGAACAAGTGAAAAGAGTTGAGTTGAATCTTTGAGAATGGGTTCAATCGAAGAAGATGAAGTTGATCCTTTGGAAGTTTTAATCTTTGAAGAGGTTTGGAAAATTTTGGAAGCCATTGACGAATGCTCGAAGAACACTAAGAACACGGAACAGAGAGAATTTTTAAGGAAGAAGACAAAGAGAAGCGTAAAGAGGCAAAAGTAGGGTTTAAAACCCTTATATAGGAGGGTGTTTCAGACTAGGTCGAAGAGTGCAATGATGACACCCAACATAAAAACATGTTTGCCTTAAATGCATAGGCTATGAAGAGCCTCCCTATATGCCAACCGAAACAAGACATGATATTGGACATGAAGAGAACCGTCAGTTCGGTTTTAGGATTAAAAAAAGATTATCACTTTAATGAAACATGTACCAAATGAGATTAAGGAAAAAGTAGTTGTTGGATGACTATATTGACATTTTGAAAAACTGTTAGCCACATTATTCTAAACCGCATTTATTATGCGAGTGTCTCTGAAGAAGGAAAAAAATTTTAGGTGACGTTTTATTAAAGGTATATCGGAGTTATAAAAACTCCGAGATAACAAGACATGGGATATTTCCTTTAGAATTTAAAAAAACATTCATTATTGTTTGATATTGGTTCAAGAAGTGGCACAACTTCAAGAATAGATACCAGAGACAAAAGGTGCATTGAAGATCTTAGTCATTTTTTTTTAAAGAGAGTTGGGAAATTCCAAGATATAAAGGATTAGAACTCAAAAAATAAAGGAAATAAAGTTACATTACCAACTCAGATTTGAATTCCAATATAACTAAAGAAATTAATTTATCACCGATTATATAATTATTTTTATTTAAACTTAATTCTATATATACTTTTTTTTTCAACAGATCATTCAAATTATTTGAGTTTCTTAAAAATAACTATGAAGGTCTAGTTAATAAACAAATTACTAAATAAATTACCAATGCATGTGGACAAAGAAAGTCTTATAAAAATACGACGGCTATGAAACATATAGTATTAACCTTATCGTGAGACATACAAATTGAATTTTAGATGTTCGACCGATGTTTTTGAAAATATGACACCTAACTTTCGATTAAACTAGCTAGTTCATTAAGTTCGTGTAAAACGTTGTAAAATTTAAGCATGAAATAAACATAAACAAACAAATTTTCTAACGTCAATGATGGCAACCTTTTTGAGCCATGCAATGCACCAAAATTCTTTGGATATGTGTCTAGGCCACGCGAACTATTCCTTTTCTTGTACGCATCTTAAACCGGTTTTATGGTTCCTTCAAAATAAATAAATTATTTTTAAAATAAATTAAATATCCTACTATATTCTATTTTTATGTATCCTCCTGCTAATCAAATTAAATATCTTATTTATAAAAGGGATCGGCTAAAAACCATCTTATTTTACTTTATAAACGTTGTACTTAGCTTTTTCTTTTATTTTTTACGCTGTAAACACATATTTTTTGTTATAAAAAGTAGATTTTTGTATAAGCTGAAAAAGCGGCTGTATATTGTACAAACAAATGTTTGTTCTAAAAATACACACAGAACCTGTAAAGCCACCAACTTTACGTTTACGTATTTTTAAAACGCATGTATTCTTAGAAACGTAAAAGTTAGAAGTAAATAAGCACGGGATACCTATGAAACTTTTGTTTACCTATCATTGCACTATATTTTATAAGGCATGTATCGTATTTTGATTTTCATGTAATGATGTACTTGTAGAACGAAGACAATATAATTAATATTTTGTATTAATAGAAGCTTATATTTTCTATAATTGTTTTTGTATTGTTCAATGTATGCAATGATTTTGTATCATCCCAAAAATCATAGTAAAATTTTTTATTTTTAAAACCATTTTAATAATCCATAAATCATTCAAAACATTGTTCTAAAAGCCATAATCGTTAATCAGAGTATCCCGAAATCATTTATTAATAGAATATCTAAGGATGATGTGCACAACCATGTTTTCGCCTTGCCCCAGTCATCTAGTATACCTGAAACCATGAAATCAAAACTCTAAGCTAAATCTTAGTGAGTTTCTCCAAAATACCCCACACAACGAAGCAGATAACAATATGCATACATGATCCTTCAGCCTGATTGGACCCCTCGCAGGGCCTACAACCTATCTAGACCGCTCTTCGGGCCTGCGAACTGACTAGACCGCCTTGCATGGCCTATAGAAGACTTTGTCATATACTGTGAAGCGTCACATCAACGGTTAGGATGTGTATTGATCCAAAGGGACAAGCTTATTGCTTGTGCTTCCCGACAACTCAAAATGGACGAGAACAACTACACTACCAATGACTTCGGACTAGGAGTTGTAGTTTTTATGTTAAAGATTCGGAGACATTACCTGTATGGTACCAATTACACCATCTTCACTAATCATAAGAGTCTCCAGCACATCTTTGATTATAAAAAAAAAAAAAAAAAAAAAAAAAAAAAACTCTCAACTTGAGACAATGAAGATGGGTTGAGCCACCGAATGATTATGAGTGTGAGATTCGTTATCATCTGGGCAAGACGAGTGTTGTGGAAAATTCCTTCATCCGAAAAGAACGCATAAAATCCCGTCGAGTACAAGCTTTAACAATGATTATCCATTTTTACCTTACCACTCATATTCCAGAAGCTCAACTCGAGGATCTAAAAGAAGAAAACATAGTGATTGAAGCTTTGCAAAGAATGGACAAATAATTTGAACTTAGGGATAACGAAATGTGATACTTTTTGAACCGAATTTGGACGCCAAAGTTCAATGACATCAGAATCTTAGTCTTGGATGAAGCTCACAGATCAAGGTATTCCGTTCATCTAGACTCTGAAAAAATATATTTAGACTTGAAGAAACTATATGAGTGGCCAAACATGAAAGCTGAAATCGTCAATTATGTTGGCGAATGCCTAACCTATTCCAAAGTTAAGGTAGAA